GTTTCTTCTGTAAATAAATTGTGCATTAATATATAAAAGTTAGAAAGGATTCTCAAAACCTCTCTCTCAATTCAGAAATTGCTTTATTGGCATGACAAATGTATTGCCAAAGCATTTATAAAGTTTACATTTAAAAGAACACACACACACACACACACACACACACACACACACACACACACACACACACACACACACACACACACACACACACACATTAAATATAAACATAGTAAATACAGTAAATAGTAGTATAGTATAATAATAATAATAATTACTATATTCATTTTCTTTTCGGCTTAGTCCCTTTATTAATCTGGGGTCACCACAGTGGAGTAAACCACCAAATAATTCACCTATACTGCATGTCTTTGGACTTGTGGGGGAAACCAGAGCACCCGGAGGAAACCCATGCGAACACAGGGAACATGCAAACTCCACACAGATATGCCAACTGACCTAGCCGAAGCTTGAACCAGCGACCTTCTTGGTGTGAGGCAAACGTGCTACCCACTGGGTCAACGTGCATATTAATAATATTAAAAATAATTAAATAAAAATACAAATTTAACAAAATAAATAAAAATAAAAAATCTCTCGCACAGCATCTCTAGAGACAACTTAAAAAAAAAAACATCTTAAAAATTAAATAAAATATGTGTCGTTGAAATATAAATAGTTGAACATATAAATGAGTCCAATCAGTTCACAGACATGCTGGAATATTCTTGCATATCTGTTTCTCATGCAGAGTAACTATACGGCTTCATAAAGGACATTCAAAAACATCTAATGAGTCATAGCACATAGTCAAGTGCACTAAACAGTTAAGCTATTTGCTCTACAAATGTTTATAATTATGATGACAATTTATTAAAATAGTATAGTGTAAAAGGAATACATTTAAATTGATTGTATCCATACATATGTGACTTTTGGTCATCCAACAGGAAAAAAATATTTATTTATTTATTTATTTATCAACTTAACCAGCAATGTCCCATTGAGATACAATACCATTGCAGGATGAGAGGGGAGTCTGAGGTCTTGAGAACTCCCCTGGTTGATAATGGTGAATGTAGATTATGAATAGCTATGGAGAGTGTTTGCTGAATTCAATGCTTGTCTATGATGTTGATTTAGTTTTGTCAATTTACTTATGCTACATGTTTTTGGTCTGTAGGAGGAAACCGGAGAGCTCGAGGAAAACCCACACAAACATGGGGAGAGCATGCAAACTCCACACAGAAATGCCGACTTGGCCAGGTAAGATCTGAGCCAGTGAGATTCTTGCTGTGAGGCAATAATCCTAACCATTGGGCCTCCGTGCTGCCCTGACAAGGAAAGGGGAGGAGTAGGGGTGGAAGGGGGGATTCTTCAAGACGAAGATGGCCAAGATAAGATACTCAGGTTATTTATAGTGATTTAGGAATCGTCTGATGAATCATGCATTAACTAATGAGGACCAGCTGCTGTCAATCATAAGCACGCGCTCCTCTCGAAATTAGTTTATAAATAAACTTCCATTTGCAAAGAGTCTATTGCCACTTTTATAGATGAAGCCATAGTGTAAATAATTGTGTTGCCTGCATAAAAGTGTACATTTGCTGACCTAATAGCTTTACCAAGTTTATTTATATAAATAGAGAATAAAATTGGCCCAAAATTGAACCGAGGAACACCTTACTGTTAAAGGAGCAGAGAAACAGTATGCCTTTCTAAACACACTGAATTCTTCCAGTCAAATAATTATGGAACCATTTCAACACTCGTGTACTAAAGCTTTTGCAGCAAAATATCATGATTCACAGAATCAAATGCTTTTGATAAATCTATAAAAAGTGCAGCACATGATGTTTTTATCATCCAGTGCAGTGATTATATCATTAGAAACTGACACTGCATCAGTTATAGTGCTGTGCCCTTGTCTAAAACCTGACTGAGTTTGACATAAGATTGACTTTAACTGTTCATTTACCTTAGATTCAAACACTTTAGCTGTAACAGACAACCTTGAAATAGGACGATAATTATCTAACACAGTGGGATCTCTTCAGCAATGGCCGTATGTTTGCTGATTTATTAAGAACTTGGTAAAAGACCACTAGCTAAACTCAGATTAATAAGTGATCCTCTAAAATCTTATTACACCTTTCATGTCTTTGAACTATTGTCATGTGAGATTTTTTCTTCTTTTAATAAATGTATTTAATAGTGAATGTGGGAATTTTATCATGTTAGTGACACTTTTCATTGTTTAAAAAATAACCAATATTTCATAAAATCAAAATATGGCAAAAAAATATCAAATATGAAAAAACAACATTGCTGTAATATGAAAAAAAATCTTAAGCTTTAAAATAAAAAGCATTTTAATTTAGTGCTTTTATATATTTGACATTGTTTTTATCTGAAACAGTTGTGCTTGTATTTTGTAGTCAAGACATTTTTCAACAATATAATCAAGACTATCAGATATTTATTGTAATTAAGTCATTTTTAATTCTTACCATGGTTTTCTAAGGTTAAATTACGATTATGATTGTGTGGCAGGCAGATTGATTATAGGTAAATGAGCAATTATTTTTATAAATTTTTAAGTTCATATTCCTAAATTTGCAACTCTAAATTTTGTATAACCTCAGTTTAAACATGAATACCCTACCATTGTTAAACCATAGAAGGTGTAGTTAAAACAGTAATTAATTTGTATTTAACATGGTTTAAAGCAGGGATGCTCAAACTTTTTTGTATAAAGGGCCAAAAACCAAATATCGTCTGCGCCAGTGGTGTAGTGGTTAGTGCGTCGACACATGCACTCTGGTGCTCACGGTGACCCGGGTTTGATACCGCCTCGGGGTCCTATGCCGATCCTTCCCCTCTCTCTGCTCCCCATGCTTTCCTGTCAATTCTCTCTACTGTCCTTTCAAAAATAAAGGTGAAAACCCTGAAAGAATTATAATATTAAAATATATATATATATATATATATATATATATATATATATATATATATATATATATATATATCATCGAGAGCCGTGTGCTGAAGGTAAATATACCAAACTACAATAAAGTAGCCATGGGTCATTTTACTAATGTATTACTGTATATCATACTGTTCATTATGATGGAACTTGGAGAGACTTTTTTTTTTGAGGTGGTACTTGGTGAAAAAGATTTGAGAACCACTGATGTAGACCATATGTGCTTTTACTTTTGGATTCTTTTTTACAAGCAAACATTTAATCAATAAAAATTATTTTAACCAACTTGACTAAACTAATTGACTTTACCTTGAATAATTACCTTCATTTTTAAAATAGCAAAAACAGATCACAGTTCACTTCACTTCAGTGAATTATTGGACCAGATGTTCCAGAAAGGGGATGGGAAAACTCTGCCTGCTGAAGTGGACTCTGTCCAGGGGCGCCTCCAAGGGGTGGCCAGGGGTGGCCACGGCCACCCCTCTGTAAACTCTGGCCACCCCTGTGGCCACCCCTTTGGCCACCCCAATATAATTTTGCGGTTGACATTATTGATTTAAATGAACTTATAAATTCCCAATATTTAGATAAATAAATAAATACATAAATAAATAAATAAAATGCAGTCACTAAATTATTGTTGGTGTTACTGACGTAGCTCTCCCCCTCTCGTTCAATGCTGGTGAAAGCAAACTGACGCATGCGCGCGGAAAACCATTCCCGCGCGCCTCACGCACTCCTGTGTGAATCCCGGTTGGTTGTTTGCATGCACGCCGACATAATAGGCACCGCTCATGCGCCGTGAAACCGGAGTAACAGCCTTTTGTGCAGAAGTGTCGGCACGCAGCGAGTTTTGAAAGTCGTTTAAAGTTTATATAATATAATGATGATGATGATGATGATGATGTTACTTTCACTAAGCATGCCTTTAAAGCAGAAAGGAGGGATAATGAGTCAGGGAGGTAAGACTTCATAACATGATTTCTCAGCCATGATCTGGTCTAAGACCACAGATAATTCTATAATACATTTTTTGTATTCTTTAGAATTGTCATAATTAATTTTCATGCAAAAGGTTTCTTAAGTGATGTTGGCATATCACTCCAGTTGTTGTTTTCCAGTAATATTTAGGACTGATTTCTGTTATTTATTTAGAATAATAATTGTATATTAATATTAATTGTATTTATTTAGAATAAATATAAATAAATTGTTATATTTATTGAATAACAAATCTAACAATTCAAGAGAGGTGGGGGTGTATAGGGTGGTTCGCCCAGGGTGTCATTTAAACTAGAACCACCACTACCCTCCCCGATCGTCCTTGACAGCACGCACACACCTTCAATAGACAGCAATGGCTATTTAATATTTACCTTAAGCTACAGTATATCAATAGAAGAAGCTGCATTAATAAAATGGTTCAAAAAGCAATATGGATAAATAATATTATTAGGTATAGTGAGTGTGTATATAGTAATGCCTTTTGTTCAGTTTGTTCATTTGTTTGGGTAATTAATAAACTCATTATTCTTTCATTCATTTTCTTTTCGGCTTAGTCCCTTTATTAATCCAGGGTCACCACAGCAGAATGAACCGCCAACTTATCTAGCACATTTTTACACAGCGGATGCCCTTCCAGCTGCAACCCATCACTGGGAATAATAAACTCATTAATCTTCATTAATTTTAGACATGGCATATCTCGTATTATGTACAATAAAGGCACGTAAAAAAAGAAGTCATTTATACAGTATATGAAAAGTGTTTTTAAACTAAACATAGATTTTTATTTGGTTTGCACATGTACTTGCTGAATTATTTCAAAGAATGAATTGCAATATTTCAAGTAGAATTCATTAAATGAATAAAACTACATTATTTCATTTACCAGAAACAAAAATATAACATTACACTGAATTCATTATTTTTTTTTTGTGTGCCACCCCAAGATTTGGTGCGGCCTCTTCTGGCCACCCCTAAGAAAATTTTCTGGGGGCGCCACTGACTCTGTCCAACGTTAAAGTACACTGCATAATTTGTGTGGCAGGTTAAAATATTTTTGAAGGTAAACATTTTAAATTTTGCACGAAGTTCCCTTTTGGCTGCAAATAACTTTCTTTTTTTCCTGTCAATAATTTCAGAGACAACCCATCACCATCTCCAGCAATGCTCAGAAATTGATGTTTGCCTCAAACTACTTCTTGAACATTTCACACCCAGGAGTGCAAAGTGCAAGGCTAGAGTTTGTGCAAAGGTAAAAAAAAAAAAATAAAAAAAAAAACATTCTCACACACAGGCCCACAAACAAATCCTCACACTCAAATCCAGGCGCTCTCGCAAGCGTCTTCACATACACACACGTTGCACAAAAACATCCTTACACTTACACTCTCTTGAATTTATTCTCGCATTCATACACTCTCCACACATACTCACATATACACACTCACACATGCATTCTCACACATATTCACAGAACAATCTTCTCAGTCTCTCTCACACAACATCCTCTCACAGAGGTTTTTCTAGTAAACATCCACTACAAGCTTGTCCTGTTAAGCTGCGGTCACACTGGACTTTTCTCTCCATAGATTCGTACACACGCGAATGCTTCAGACTGGAAACGCAGGCTTGTGTGACAAGTTTCGCAGTTCGCTGTGTTGCAAAGTTCAAGCTTGGTGAACTCTGACCTGCGAAATCGCCTCACATGACTGCGTGAGACCAATCAAAGATCAAAGCATGTTTTTGGCTATGGCTATGATTTCTTTTCTTCAAAGTTTAAATGTCACCACAATTGATTCAGCAGATGCCACAATTCTTGATGCCCCCTTAGACATTAATGAAATAAATCTGGCAATTAAATGTATGCGCTGCAATAAAGCCCCCGAGCCAGATGGCTTTCCAGTAGAATTTTTAAAGAAGTTTCAGAATAAATTTACCCCCCTACTTTTATCAGTGTACATAGAATCTCTAGAGAATGGTTACTTACCAGAAACACTCACACAAGCATCTATAATTCTCCTTTTAAAAAAAGATAAAAATCCTAAATTATGTAGTTCATATCGGCCTCTCTCTTTGCAAAATGTAGATGCCAAAATGTTGGCCAAAGTATTATCCTCTCGTCTTGAAAACGTACTTCCAAAAATGATATCTGAGGAACAAACAGGCTTTATCAAAGGGAGACAGTTATTTTTTAACGTTCGTACACTCTTAAATGTAATTTATTCCAAATATTCTTTAAATACACCTGAAGTGGTGATTTCATGTGACGCTGAAAAGGCGTTTGATCGCGTTGAGTGGGAGTTTATGTTTGCCGTCCTTCAAAAAATTGTCCCCAATCCCAAATTTTTTAAGTGGATACAACTTTTATATAATTCCCCTCAGGCAAGTGTGCATACCAATAATATTAGATCCAGCTATTTTCAATGGGACGGGGCACATGTCAAGGGTGCCCACTTTCCCCTTTACTGTTTGTCTTGGTCATCGAGCCCCTATCAATAGCTCTTAGGTCTTCCTCTTTGCTGCATGGTCTAGTGCGTTCAGGTGTTAAAGTTAAATTATCTTTATATGCAGATGACCTATTATTATATATTTCTAAGCCAATTCCTAGCTTTCCAACTATTTTATCTATATTAAATCAATTTGGCTCTTTTTCCGGTTATAAAATAAATTTTCACAATACTGAATGTTTTTCAGTTAACGCATAAGCTATGAATCTGTCGCAATCAGATATTCCAGTTAAATTCAGTTTATCAGGATTCAGATATCTTGGCATTAATATAACTAGATCATTTCCTTCTTTACTAGCTGCAAATTTCCTCCCCTTGTTGGAGCAATCCAAGTCTGATTTTTAAAGATGGAGCAGTTTACCCTTATCATTGATTGGTCGTATTAATGTTGTGAAAATGAATGTTTTGCCCAAATTTATTTTTGTATTTCAGTGTGTTCCTTTGTATTTACCCAAGCATTTCTTTAAATCCCTTGATCAAATAATTAGTAATTTTTTGTGGGGGGACAAGTCTCCTAGAATTCGGCTATCTTTACCAAATTTTATGTTTTATTATTGGTCCGTAAATATTCATAAATTAACATTCTGGTCTAGTTCATCTACTGCGCCTTGGTGCAGATTGGAAGCCATCTCATGCGCATCTACTTCACTGTTGGCTCTCCTTACCTCTCCCTTATCTTTCAATGTCTCCTCTTCTTCCCTAACACAAAATCCAGTAGTTGTTGCTTCGGTTCGGATCTGGTGCCAGTTCAGAAGACACTTTAGTTTTACCTCTGCTTCAATATTAATGCCACTACTGGGAAATCCAACACAATCTCACGGCAATTCGTAACTTTTTCATTTAGTGGCTAATTCGAATGAATTCGTACGATCTAATTCTTACAATTAAGTACGATTTGCTTATCCCCCAATGATGGTTGGGGTTTGGGGTGGGGTCAGGTGCCACGCCTCCTTTTTAAAATCGTACCATTTCGTACGACTGAACTCGTACGAATTTGTACGAATAAGCCACTAAACTGCCAAAACGTAAAATACTTATGTTTTCTCGTGAGATCAGGCTGGGGAAATCACATGTTTCCACCATCCCTTGCAGATCCTGTATTTAAGCAATGGTATGTGAAAGGTTTAAGAAATTTCCAGGACCTGTATAGGGATGGCATTTTTTGCAACTATGCACAACTTTCTTCTGAAATGGAGCTTTCAGAATCCATTTTTTTAGATTCTTACAGGCTAGACATTGCTCTGCTACCTTATTCTCAGGCTACCCATCCCTAACTAAACTACAGGTATGGGAAGAGCTACTGCAACTAAAAAAAATCTATGGGTGCATTTTGAGCTTGGATGATGGTTCTCTTACTAAAATTAAAAAATCTTGGGAAAAAGAATTGGGAATATGTTTTGAGAAAGAATGGTGGCTTGGTGCACTGCAGAGAATACGTTCTAGTACAATTTGCGCTCGGCTTAGTCTGATACAATTCAAAGTCTTTCATGTAGTCCATTTCTTAAAAACCAGGCAATCTGAAATTTTTCTCAATATCGATAACAGATGTGACAGATGTCATGCACCAAGTTGTAATTTGAGTCATATGATCTTTATGTGCCCTCTATTACAGAATTATTGGATTAATTATTTTACAAATATGTCCAAGGTGTTGCAGGTAAATATAAACCCATCCTCTGATGTTGCCATTTTTGGGGTTCCATAGATTTGGTCCAATTTCAATTATAAACAACTTGATGTTTTGGCCTTTACCTCACTAATAGCCAGGCATCGTATACTACTTCACTGGAAATCAAATAAGCCTCCAACTACATCCCAATGGCTTGTAGATACCATGCATTTTCTTAAGTTGGAAAAGGTTAGATGCTCTGGGAAAACTAATTTCTTTAAAAAGTGGCATTGTTTTATAACTTACTTTAACTCTCTTAAGGTATTGCCTTCCATTTAATAGATGCACTGTCCTGAGTTCCCTCCCTTTTTAATTTATTTTGTATTAATTAAACTTTTTTGTTTTATCTAATACCATTTTATACCGTTTAATTGTAAATATTTACTTTCAACATTGACAATGTATCTGAACATTTGATTGTGATATTTGGTTGTAATTTTCAGTACACTTAATACTCCTGTTTCTATTTTTCTTTTCCTCTTTTATTATTATCATTATTATTATTATTAATGTTTCTCTTTTTTATTATATATATATTTTTTGTTATTATTATTTTTTTGTCTCTTTTGTAAAAAAAAAGAAAAAGAATGAAATGTAACTATCTGTACTGATGTAATGTTTTTTTTTTCACAATAAACAATTTAAACATAAAGATCAAAGCATAAACGCTCTGGACAGAAAATTCTTATATGGACCAATAGCTTGCTGTTTTAAATGTCTAATCATCTTGTTTAATCCCGCCCCTTTACACAGCGCTGTACAACAGAATTTCACAAGCTCAAACTCTAGTGTGACCACAGCTTTACTCTCTGCTTTTATTTAAAACATTTTAGAGCATAATATAGTCCATGTTATATTACTAAGGATTGTTTTCCATTCAGCAGGTTTCTTTTAAAATGGAACCCAGAGAAGTATCGGAAGTAGAGAAGACCAGAGGAATCAGAGAAGAATCGGAAGTGGAGAAGACCAGATCAAGGAAGACCACATTGAGATCTGCGGTCAGTCCAAGGGCTCTTTAACTAATTAATAAGATTTCAGACTAAGAATAGATGGAGAAAAGCATTGCCTTACAGAAAATCTTGCCAGCTTAACAGACTGAAATAATCATTTTCTTTTGTGGTTTAATTTTTTCATGCCTCATCTGTTGTCAAGATGAATATGTTCACACTGGTTTAGTTTTAAGGACAATTTCATTATTAATTGTAATTTGTTTACCAAACTGCTGTATTGTTACAGTATTTAACATTTCCTTTTATTGTGTCTGGACCCTTTTCACATTTTTTGGTTTCTTAAAGTCATCATAGTTGGGTAAACTTAGGCCCCTTTTACACTAATACGTTTTAGTTTTAAGAATGAAAATGATCCACGTCCACACTGGTGTTTCACCCAGTTTCTCTGAACAACTCTCCATCCATACTACACTGCTGAAAACGCACATCACATGACCACACACACACTCTGGCATGCACTGCAGCGATGAGAGCTGTGCATGTTGGACTGCTCATCAAGGATCTACCGCTGGATCTAATCTCACTATATTTGTTAAACGTGATATTTAATTCATCTCGTCTCTATCTAATGACATATTCCCTGACTTTGGTCTTTTGAATCTTTTACTTGTTTTCAGGTAACGTGTTTTGACTGAGCGCAAACATAAGTTAATATATTAATGTAACCACTGATTCAGCACATTTGACTGATTGCTTCCGTTTATTTCCTATAAATGTATAAACTTATTGTATATTATACTTTTATAATGGCCATTATTGATTATTAAAACTGATTTTCAGTAAAAAGAGAGGGTATGTTTCATATTTTCAATGAGAATGAAAGAAGGCAGTAATGTTATAAATATATGTGTTATAAACATGCCTACAGTGAAGATGATGGTCATACAAATATGCAGCTGCACGACGCCTCAACATTTCTGCTGTCTGTTAAGTTGCTAATATCAATATAAAATAGGCAGTTCCTCATATCATGTTTTTATTTTATTGTTAATAAAGTGAAACAACGTAGCCTGCAGGGTGTGTGAATGAGGTTATACAGTACACTGTTCCCTTTGGAGATTTACCCGACGTGTCCTCGGGAGTTTGTTTTCCATATCAAACTTGCGGAGTCTGAAGTTACAAGGAGACGATGCAAGACTGAACTGTGTGTAGGCTACTTAATACTGAGAAAAAACTCCAATCAGACAGGCGAATGTCTGCAGCCACGCCTCCGTTTTCAGATGTCTCCGTTTTCCCTCATCCACACTAACACAGAGCAGCAGCGTTTTAAAATAAAAACGGCCTTCCAGCGTTTTCTAAAAAGCTCTGTTTATGGCGCTCGAAAACTTCGGCGTAGTTTGGACGGATGTCTTAACCATAGCAAAACTTGTCCGTTTTAAAACTAAAAGTGTAAACTGGGCCTTAGAGAGCGGTTAATGGAAGAGTACCACAAATAAAACTGTTTTTGCATTTCAATTGGCTCAAATAACAAAAGAATAATAATCAGGGGTCGCCACAGCAGAATGAATCACCAAATTATCCAGCATACGTTTTACACAGTGGATGCCCTTTCAGCTGCAACCCAACACTAGGAAACACCCATACACTCTCGCCTTCACACACATACACTTCGGCCAATTTAGCTTATTTAATTCACCTATAGCGCATATCTTAGAACTGGTGGGGGAAACCGAAGTATCCGGATAAAACCCACATGAACACAGGGAGAACATGCAAACTCCACACTGAAATGCCAACTTACACAGCCGGTGCTCGAACCAGTGACCTTCTTGCTGTGAGGTGATCGTGCTACCCACTGCGCGCCATGCTGCCTCTTTTTAACATAATACAAATATTAAAAACTTTAAAGGATGTAAGATGCTGATTATTATTGAAATGAGTCACATGTCTTGTGAACGGTCTATTATGACAGTTACGATATTTTTATATTGTGGCAGTTTTAAACAAACTGAAGTCTATGTTGTTGCAGCGGTTTAGTTTTGGACATTTTTCTATTTGAATGTTGTTGCAGTCATGCTCAATTTTGGTGACTAAATTATTAAAATACAGTTTTACATTTATGGCTAATTATTTTACAGTGTAAAATATTATAACCAAATGCAAAATGAACATAATAACTATGTATTCACTCCCTTTGAACACGTTATTTTCATAAAAATTAGTTGCTATCTGCTGACATACTGCTGGTCTGGGGTGCGTTTCTGAAAACCATTGTTAGCCAACTAAGGTTGCAAGTTCTGTTGTTACAAACATAGTTAATTTGAGATTTCCTAAATCTGTCGTTCCAACGAACACTTGCAAATTTCGTCACAAACTTGTGCACTGGCAACTACACCTCTGGAGCTGTAGTAAGAAACATAGTTCCTGGCTGTGTTCTATTCCCAGTTTTCCCCCCTATGCCCTATTCTTTTACAACATTCTAACATTTAGACTTGGGACTATTTTTAAAAAAAGCATTAAAGTCATCTGTCTTAGGTGTAATTTGCTTTCAAAGCATTATTAGAGCTCAGTTTTAGCAAGCTTCATGTTTACAATTGCGTTGCCTTCGTAGTGCACTTTGAAAACATTGATGTCATTTTGAACACAGCCGAGCCGAATTTATGTTATGTCTCCAAAGCTAGTATGTTTTAACAGTCATTGTTCCAAAGCTTGTGAAAACAAAAAACATATCATACATTAATGCTTTTATTTTATATAGGCTATTGATTACGACATGTAGCCTACTGTATATGACACGGGCCTGTTGGTTAGAACATTTCTACAGTGGTTTGTGTCAAATTGTAAAAGCATTTTAACTTCATTTTTGTATATAATATGTATATATACTAATTGTCAAATCAGATTATTAATTATTGTTTTATTTTTAATTAAGCCCAGTGTTGAAACTTTTTAAAGCTATAGGTGAAATTGAAATGGTGAATTGACATGTTTCTTGATGTTTTTTTTTTTTTTTATGGACAACAAAATGACCTCTTGATGCTCAAAGAACTGTTTAGTTAAATACACAAAGACACTTTAGGAGCATTAAAACATTTGAAGATCAATAAATGCACAAATATTTTTTCAATATTCAATTTATTGATGCACAAAGGAAGATTTGTAGCAGTTCTGTAAACTCAAAAACAGACTGCAGAGGGGAATCTTGACAGCAGAAGTGGGTTACTTTTTGCTGACTGAGCCCTCTTCGTCCTGACATCCTCATCCTCAAATGGACACTGAAAACACATGAGAACTTTAATCACAACACCACAGACACATGGGTTAGTTTCAGAACAGGCATATTAGTGAACAGAGGGACACGTACAGACTCACGCTTGTTCACTAGTCGACTTGTAAAGCCTGGCAGTCTGGGTAAGGAAAGTTGAGGCTTCACTTTCAGATCAGACGAACATGAAGGGAGTTCATCGAAAGGCTTTACAGAAACACAGCTTGGCTTCAATACAGACAAGCGTGTGGGAGCAGCAACATGATGCTGGCGGAGAGGTGTAGGTTTGACCATCCTCACTGCTGGACTCCCAGAATGTGCCAGAAGAGATGAAGAGTGGTCAACACCGGCGTTCAGGTCAGACAGAGGGAAGCTGATGTTTTTCAGTGAAACTTCCGTCTTGTGTTTAGGAGAGCTCATGCTGCGTTCTGGAGGTCCGTTTGTGAAGCTCTGCTTGTTGACAGGCTTCACATGAACTCGGTGTGGCTCCAAAAGAGGCAGGTTTGAGCACACAGCAGCTGACTGCCGGTGGAGAGGCAAGCGTTCATCCATCCTTACTGCTCTACTTCCAGATGGAGGCAGAACAGATGAGGGCCGGTCAACACTGGCATTCAGGCCAGACACACATGCAGGGTAGCTGATGTTTCTCACTGAAACCTTCACCTGATGTTTTGGAGGTCCATCTGTGAAGCTCTGCTGGTTGACAGGCTTCACATGATACTTGGACTCCAAAACACGCAGGTTTGACAGCACAGCAACAGACTGCTGGCGGTGAGGCGTATGTGTGTCCATCCTCACTGCTGGACTCCCAGAATTAGGAGAATGGTCAACGCTAGTCAGGTCAGACGGGTAGCAGATGTCTTTCACTGAAACCTTCATCTGAGGTCTAGGAGCGCTCACTGCTCTAGCTTTCAGATGTCCATCTGTGAAGATCTGCTTTTTGACACACTTCACAGGAACAGTTTTTGGCTTCAGAGCAGGCAGGATTGAGCGCCTGGCAATCAGTTGCCGACAGAGAGGAGTAAGCTGGTCAATCCTCAGTGTTCGACTCCCAGAACGAAGCTGAACAGAGGAGGAAGGCTCAACACTGGCATTTAGGCCAGACTCAGAGGAACCACAGCTGATGTTTTTCGCTGAAACCTCCATATTTGTAGGAGAGTTCGCTCCCCGATGTTCTGGGGGGTGTGGCAGAACCTGACTAGAACTTTTTTGGTTTTTGAACCACATATTGACAAACTAGAGTGAAGATTTTGTCGCAACAAAAGTAGCTTCAACGTGCCGTAAGCAGCGATCACGAGTGAAATGCGGTGAAACTCTCGTTCTGATGATGATGTAAATGTTCTTTTAGAATGTTCGCGTCATTTCAAGCTCGTGACGTTCTTTCAGACATCATCTTAAATCTCATTAAGTATATTTAATAATATATAAGTATTTAAATACACTCTGAACGCATATTTTGCACCACAGTTTTAATACTGCAGTTAGATATGGATCTGACTCGCATAAGTGAGGTTGTGGCTCCCTCTAGAGGTAGAAATCGGCTTTTGCTAGCTCTGATAAGGTTACGGCTGAAATTAAATCACTTATAACATTTCCTATTTGTATTTTTAACGTCTACTCCCACCCCAACCTTAAAACCAACCGTCACAGTACTGTAAAAATGAACTATTGTATTACAGTGTCACAAAAATGATGCTATATTGACGTGTATATCTGCAGCTGTGTCCTGCACAAAAGCTGTTTAAAAATCTTATATTAGGCCAATAATGAATAAATATAATTC